TCTGAGAGAAGACACCATCGGGCCAGTGTTGGTGCTGGCGTGGTAGGGCGCACAAGATGAGACATCGAGAGGCTCTTGCATCTTGACTCTTGATGGAGGTCGATGTTGCTATGAACCAACGTTAGTTCAAGGGTCTCCTTTCAACAGCATGGGGCATAATGCCAAGTAGACACAAGAGACGTATACATCATAATAATTATTACATGTACACCATATGCTATGCGAGATGAGGACGCTGATCAGGCTGATGATATGCCGTGTCAACCATATTGTCGCCCTCCAGGGGCGGCATTCTTTGTGGCTGTCATACCGCTACACGTGTAATAACTTACTAATAAGTATAATATGGACTGCAGTAGGATGTAATTGTTCCCTCGCTACTCTGGGGTTCGCGCAAAAGCCATCCCCAGAACGATCCACTGTACAAGAAAGCTAGCCGCAAAGTTTTGGTGCCTAGGGATCACTTTTGCCTGAACTACTTACTTCCCTGTTGCGAGAATGTAGCGGCTCACCTGATAAAGGTGCGGATCCTCTTCACTCAGTAGAGACAGTCGAGCGAGCTGTACTCCCAGTGCGGAGAGGCGGGTAATGACTTCCCCATGTCTCACCCCCCCCCCCGGGGGGGGGGGGGTCAAGACGAAGTTAGCACTAATCATACTGGCCGAATACTAAGGTGGAACTAGAAGGGTGCAAGTCTGAGGAATAATTGAATGTCAACTATTACTTCTTCGAAGTATTCTCAAACTAAGGGGTCGTCCGTAATTATCGAACTTTTTTCACGAAACGAAATAATTTCGTTATGGGGTGGGAGGGGGTTGACCAATTTCGTTTCAGAAAACTTCGATACATGTACATGGCCATAGGAGCAGTGACACACTTGCGACTTTTGTTGTATATTATGCATGTCTATGTCAACAATTTTTACGTTCTGAGGGGGAGGGAGGGAGGGGTTGGGTCTAAACTAAAATAATTCGTTTGGTGAAAAAAGTTCGATATTTACGGACGGCCCCTAAAAACCTTGGCTTTAGACCAGCGATGTACCACCGCTAAGCCTCAACTAAGCTACATGACATTGTACAATCACGTACATGTACATGTATATGGTGTAGTCGACATTGTGTGTTACTTAAAAAAACCCAGCTCCTACAATAGTCAATAGGCCTACATGCAGATTCGATGGATAAGGGGCCGTCCGTAAATATCGAACTTTTTTCACCAAACGAATTTTTTACTTAAAAAAACCCAGCTCCTACAATAGTCAATAGGCCTACATGCAGATTCGATGGATAAGGGGCCGTCCGTAAATATCGAACTTTTTTCACCAAACGAATTATTTTAGTTTAGACCCAACCCCTCCCTCCCTCCCCCTCAGAACGTAAAAAATGTTGACATACATGCATATACAACGGCCATGTACATGAATCAATGTTTTCTGAAACGAAATTGGTCAACCCCCTCCCACCCCATAACGAAATTATTTCGTTTTTGTGAAAAAAAGTTCGATATTAATTATGGACGACCCCTAAATCATACATGTACATCTAACAGTTACGCGTCATTCACACGGAAAAGGAACATTCCCATGCACGGAATTTGAAGCCATGTGCCAGACACCTCGCGTTCCAAGTTCCATCTGAAACCCCTCAGGCCTATGAGACACCAAAATAATAAAATAATAATAATTTAAAATGCAGTACAGTAGATGAGTTGCTGCTGCTTCTAGCACAGTCATGATTACTATTAGCCTAGATGCTGCTACTGGGCTCAGGCAGATTCAGAAGAGCATGAGACCATGAGACCATGAGACCATCCACACACCGTTCCTTTCACTATCTGGGACTGTGCAGTAGTTGTGTTGGAACAACATTCCAGTATCTGAAGTGTGGCGTGTCAATTAGAAGATGGGTGAACATGACATTTGCCTAGGTGAGAAAATGACAATGGGACTTAGGGCGTGTCAGTAATCCTGGGTAGTGCATGCATGCATGATACGTGATTCAGATAAGCTCCATCTTGAGTCGGCTAACGACCTACTTCACTTATGCGTAATCTGAATATCTCTTACCTCTGGCATGGGGACATTTCACCCTGGGCGTCAAACAATATGCAGCATGCAACGTTGAAGTTGTGATGCCCAGCCTCTCAGGCTGATTCTGCCCGTCCGATAAGAGGATGACGATGTCTGTGCAGTTGCAGTTTGCACGTTTCTCACGCCTCTGATCGCTTCATTCGGTCGCTTATTTAGTTCAGTCGTTGGCAGTCTGGTCAGTCTTGCCCCAGTTTACATTCCCTGTGGTATTCGTGCGCACTGTGACATTATGCCAAACTACATTAATCCGTACAACCACTGCATTGATTGGTTGAAAGCAAAGACAATTGTGCAAGCTGCATGCATATCGTGCTGGTCTTTCGGATCACATTCAACTTAACACATACAGTACAATGTTACTAACATTGCAATGAGAACCTCCACATTGTGTTTCTGAAGGATGACAAAATGGTTCTCGAATCTCGAGCGTTTCCACGAATGGGACGAAAGCTGTATGATATATTAATATTATTCCCATAGGTATGCAAAAGACGTAAGCCAGGGTCCACACAGCTTTAATTGCAAAACAATGTCGCACAGTTCTTTCGATATGAACGACCCACGCGATGCTCTGAACAAAACACTGCTATAATACCCAGGAAAAAACACTTTGCGGATTTCAGGAGCGGCGTTTCGCAACATGAGAATGTAAACAATATCGCTGACACTGGTTGACCGTACCGACCATACTCTACATGTATACAGTGCCATGCTTGGTGTTGATGGCAGCCAGTCACGTGAGACATTCAGGGACATGTTAGAATGGGTAAATAGTGCATTTCTACGTATATAGTAGAGTAAGGTGACATGAGCCATCGAGGCATTGTCTCCCAATGGGCTCCTGTCCCGAACAGGGAAGTTGATACCAATCGCGGACCGGCTGAATCATAGCACAATTCCTTAGAAATTGGTTTTTGGTGACCTTAGTTTACGTATACTGCTGTTTTGCATTCCAAGAGGCAAGTTTGTTTATAAGTACATGTACTACTGAAGTACTTGTACTGAAGGAGGGGAATTGTGAAAGCAGTGAGGTGACATGCTGCATTGAACCGTGTGTGGCTGCTATGCAATTATTTACAAACAGTCCTTTCCTGAAAAGTATGACTTACAAGGTGAGAGCCATGCTCAGTACAGAAGCTTGCCACAGCAGCGATACATGCTCCCCCCCCCCCTCCCACACCCCAGTTTCGATGCCAGGTAACTGGTTGCAACGCTGAGACATCTGGTCGGTGGAGTTGCTCCTTGACCTTGTACAGTACATGGGCAAGCCGTCCCTAGCTACGTCCCCTGTGTCTTGTTTTGTGTTTGTCTGCACATGTGTCACAGTAGGGCTGTGTTCTTAGTAAACAAAATGGAGGCATGGAGCATACTCTAATTTCAGACATTTTAGTTGCTCAATATTTTCGGTATGAGGGCAAAAGGCCAGGTCAGGTGAACAGAAATGTTAGATACAGAGAAACAGTTCCCTATTGGACTATGTGTGTGTTAGTGTTTGTTCGGTGTATTGAAATTTTAGGTATCAAACAGATACGCCAAACGTACAGAAAATAGGCACACCGAAAATTTGTGAAATTACAGTACTCCTGAATTTAATAGCCTGTGTATCGAAGCACCACTGAGTTGAGAGACAAACACACGATTTACGAGTACATGTGCCCCCAGCCAGTATACTCTCCTTTCCTTTCTCGGTTGCATTCAGCTCCCCCCCCCCCCACACACACACTGCAATCGCTTGTCTTCCAGTTCCCGTTTTCAGTTCGTGGTGATGATTACCATGTATGCAAGTACATGGGGCTCAAGAGATTGTTTTTATTTTCGGACTGAGATCTAAAAGATCTGTTGTGTTTCTGGCAGCCCCGGGGCATGATCTGTATTCTACACCAAAGCAAAAGACAAGAGAACACTAGCACTAGTCCACTGTCCAAGGGTGCCACACCCAACGTTCAAACAAGCATGCCGACAGAAATACATTAGCATTATTAGAATGCTAATGGGTTGCCCCTATGAAACTCTGGTAGCATGCCCTCTTGGTGAAATGAAACTGGAGAAGCCAATTTAATCAACCAGTGTGTTTTAAATGATAGGTAGTGAAGATGATCAATTTACAATTTTACAGTTGCTACAGGGGTAGTACCCACAACTTCATTTCTACGTAACACCACCCCAAACCCGGCAGATGATTCTATCTTTCCTGAAAAATAATGTTATGTTCAGTATCGTGCGTGTCAATTGTGTTTACTTTTGAGCCTTGGTGTATTACTCCCCCCCCCCCCCTCTCGTATTGGATGTTGTTTTATTCTCACGATGGCACCATCGCCAATACGAGATGTTGTTGTTGTTGTTGTTGTTGTTGTTGTTGTTGTTGCTGTTTTTGTTGTTGTCTATTAATTGTTACTACCCACAAGAAAGCCCTGCACTATCATGTGGGGACAATGTGCGGGAGACATCTAGTCTACAAACCTGTGTGTTGGACTAGTGTCCTCAATGTGCACAGAATAATTCTCATATCCTACGTTTTCCTGGCTAGTGGCTACCCTGGGTAATAGTTGCCCTGCTTAGTTGCTACCCGGGCTATTAGTTTCCCTGGAAAGTGGCTACCCTGGTTAGTAACTACAGTGCTGGCAACTGAAATCCGACCCCCGAGCGGTGCGCTCACATCGCAAAGACCCAACACGGGATGGTAAAACTACGAAACAGGGACCGCTAGAATGTGAACCCACCGCTCAGGGGGTCGGATTTCAGTTGCCAGCACTGCACATTTTTTGTAGTAGCTACTGGTACCCTGGTTAGTACTTGTATGACCCTGGCCTGACCATTGCTACCCTGGCTAGTAGCTACCATGGCTAATGGACACCCTGACGAGTAGCCACAAACCAACATTTCTCGGTGTTCTATTCTGTTCCCCCTACAGGAGAATACACGCTCTCAGCCATGCGGTGGTGGAATCTCCCTCTCTGTGGTGGTGGATACCACGTCGAGCATGAAGAAGCAGCTGCGCGTCGTCCGAAAGCACGCCAATCGAATGCTGAATCAGCTACGCCGTACGCCTGGTCACCACGTCCATGACTATGTAGCAGTAGAACTCAACGAACAAGGTATTGCAAACCATAGCTCGGTGGTTAGGGCATCGTTGGCCTCGAGAAAAGGTCCCTCGTTCAAGTTCTGGTGGTGACAGCAAATTTTTTTTCAGACTTTTCCCTTTTCCATTTCCCTCAACTTATGAATACTCAATGATCCAAACAATAAATTGTGCAGTGTTGCAGCCAACTTACTGCTTTACCCAGCAGGGCCTCACCGCCATAACTACACACTACTCATGGTTCACATGAGGTTCAGTTAAACAAGCCACAAGCTTGCAAGCTAAAAAGAACGAAAAATATTATTTTAACTAAAACCATCTTCTCTCCCCAGCCTTTAGGGTGCGTGCGTGTAAGTGTTTTATCAATTTTCGTCTGATGATCGATCCAGTTCGTGAAACTCAGAGTTACAAAACCGCAACTGCTCGTTCTTCTTAACTGGTTTTGAGGGAAAGAGACAAACGGGAAGTCTGAAGAAAAAATTGACTGTCACCACCAGGACTCGAACCAGGGACCCTCGCTTGTAGCTCGTTCTTCTGTCTGCCTTTTGGCAAATTGAGCCCTCTACGGACGGTGGATGAACGACACATGGTGTTTTATTTATGTTGTTCTTCTCAGTCACCGACCGTTACGTCAAGACAACCAACCCAAAGGTGTTCAACAACACGCTGCATTCGCTGGAAGCGTTTGGCGGCGGAGACTGCCAGGAAAACATGCTGCTAGCCCTGCTGACGGCAATCGAGCACAGCTGTCCAAAGTCAACCATCTACGTCTTCTCCGACTCAACACCAAAGGATCAGTACCTGCTCGGAACCGTGCTGGAGCGTCTACAGGCCAAAGAACAACACGTTAGTAGAATGGAATGCCAGTGGTAATGTTATCGCCACTGCACTGGTATTCCACCTCAGATAACCATTTTTTGCATTTATCTGCCCAGTTTTGGCATAAATGCAATTCCTCCAGTCAGTGGGTGTCACGAGCCGGCAGCTCGTAGGGGGCCGGCACACCTAATTTGAATTAGCACCTTCGTAGCGCTATGTACTAACATTATCAGTGGCAGTTTGGTTGGTATATGGGGCCCGGGATTCCGCTCAACTGATCATCAACCAGGGACTGATCGCAGGGTTCTATCTAAGGAAAACCGTGGCTGTATGCTTTACTTCAAAGCCAACCAATGGCCTAGTGCATACGTACACTTGGGTTTATCTAGTGCTTACGTACACTCCGGGGTTTATCTGGGCAAAAACCTGACTACGAGTACTGTATATGCTGTGTTTCAAGGACAGCCACTGGCAGTAGTACTACTACCAAACCAGCAGTGTATTAGCAGGGCCAGTGCTGTCAACTTCCTTGAATCCTAGAACTGAGTTAGTTATAACTATGCTCAACAGTACGGTAAAACCTGTCAAGGCAACCACTCGGATACGGCCACCACCTGTCACGGAAGACCATTGCAACCACGGCCGAGGGATGCTACTTCCAGTCAAATAAACCTGGATAGGAGACCACCTGGTAACAGAGACCATGTTTTGAAGGTCCCTTGAGCGGCCGTCATAGGCTGGTTTCACGGCAACTACATTGCTCAGTTTGTTCTCTGACTTGTACATACCACTGCCTTGTTATTTTTACTCTCTGATAGGTGGTGTTCATCTTATCCGGACGCTGCGGCAGCATCAAATCCCCATCACAGAATGCAGTCAAGACCATTGCCACAACATCCGGTGGGCAGATCTTCTGGGTAAGTACAGCATCACCCATCTACAGCCAGACCTAACCGCACACATCCGTTTCCACAATTTTTTGGATACTGCGGCGAGGGAACCTGATAATCGAACACATATACCGTATGTATGCATGACATATGCTGTAAATCGGAAACCAACGATTTTCTTCTGGATGGAGAGGGATCTGGATGAAAGAGGACTGGATAAGCGAGGTTTGACTGTACATGAGCAATGGAGCAAAGGGCTGCGGCAACAGTTAATGAGCGCTTTCAGCCCTGGCATGATCAGGCATGGGGGGGGGGGGGGGGGGGGTAGCCTGGCACGAGTGAAGCTTCCTAAGCTGGTTGTGTTTCTCAACGCAATTGTATAGCCGGTGGTAACGCGGACGTGCGAATTTGACTTTGTCTTTTTTTCAGCCTTTCCAATTCCGGCAAAGCGTATACGTGAGCTGATCTGACTTGTAAACTCCAATAATTGATGGTCACTTAATGATCGACATAGACACCCATGTGTGTCTGGAACATGGCAGCTATGCGAGGCATCTAGTTCAGGGGACATCAAATCGGAACACTGGCCTAATTCCCCTCATTTGTCACCGACTTTCCCCTTGTTGTACTCAGTACATGCTATAGAGCTGTATTTAAAAAAGCACCGCTTGTATCCAGGAGAAGTATGATTTGATCGTAGCACGCAAATCTGAAGAGTGAAGTGAACCACGAGCGCGCCTTTGTGCATCCTTCATGCATAAAATTGTGCCTTCATCCCGGTTTGAGTAAAGTCAGGCTCTGAACATTGGCTTACTACGAGGTGAATAGCAATTTCTGGACATGAAAATAAAATAGAACCCCACTGGCTGTGTGTTTTACATTTTTCATATCTTTTTGTATCTATTGTATGGCCTAATCCTTCATCTTTCCAAATATGTGACAATTGCACATGCTGTGATCCCAGAGACTTTATAGCAGGACGTTTTTGACAGGCCAATTTTTTGGCCTAAATTTCAGTGTATGGAATTCTGGACATGATGAAAGTATAATAGCGTCAAAAGGCATCCTATACTGCACCATTTTTGTTATTTTTTCTATTGGTGGACTGCAGTTGGCCTCTTCGCACTTCCAGCCAACAGGTCCAAGACTATACAGCGTCAGTCTGAAGTGGAGTGCACATGGGGAAGCCAACGATTCGTCCATTACTTCTTATTTTACTCAAAATTCAAAATTCTCATGCGACATAGTACCACAAAACTCGTTGAAATGCCTCGCAAGCGAAGGCTATCAACAAGGCACCGACACGAGGAGAAACTACTTCAGAGTACAACAACCCAGCTGTCAACTACAACAAGAAAAAACTTCATCAACCTGACTGACTTGACTCTACACGCGACGAAAAATTATTTTACTCGAAATGTCCAGAATTGTACAATGTCCAGAAATAGCAATTCACCTCGCAGTCCAGTGCTCTTCACAACCAGTGAATTTGGAAGTTGAGTTAGAGGAAGGAAAGCAATGAACTTGATTAAGGGGTTTAAAAACATTTCACGGTTCGCGGGAGACTTGGCGGGAGGCCGAGTTTCCGTATCCGTAGCAACGCCACCACCCTCTATGGATCAAGGTGCAAATGCAGCTCCTAAAGCGGTGGGAGGTGGGTAGATCAGACCCACCAAAGTGGTCAAAGACCGAAAATCCCATTCGCGGCATCCATGCTTACCCCGTGCCAGGCCACGAGTGTTGCTGCCGTCTAGAGCTGCCACTTCAGGTCCACAGGCTCCAACAGCGAACGAAGGGAGAATATGTGTATGTTATCCTTAGAAAACCTACAAAATCGAAAAAAAGAAAAAAAATTAGCAGAGGATGGTTTCGATCCATCGACCTCTGGGTTATGGGCCCAGCACGCTTCCGCTGCGCCACTCTGCTAGCCACAATGTGAACAGTGAAAAGGAGACATAGGGATTATTCAGGCCATCGGTAGCAAAGAAGCAAAAAAATATTATGAGGGCACACTCGGAGTTGAACCAAGGACCTCTCGATCTGCAGTCGAATGCTCTACCACTGAGCTATATGCCCTACATGGCTCCACACTGACGAATGGCACGTATTCACTGAAGGCGCACGTGACTAGCGCTGCGGAGAAACAAGTAGGTTTTCTCATTTGCGTACATAGTAAATTCGCAATTTACTCTTGACTTGTTGAGCCGTCTCGAACGTTGTATTCCACAAATTCCACTTCGTTGGGTCACTACTATTGTATACCTTGAAGACCAGTAGTCTATATCGAAAGAAACACGCAAGTTCCAGCGATTAAAGAAACTTCTTTTCCACGCATTTGTATGCATTTGTATGCGGAATCGAACAAGTGTCCCCCCAGCGGGGCTCACGTGCGCCCATACCATGTATGCAGCGTGGGCGTCCGCCATTTTAGATGAATATGTGCCATTTCGTCGTAGCCTGCCGTTCTTAATTTTCAATTTTTCATGTACGACTGACAATCCACAACTGACAACATACTGTGTACACATGTGTGTCCTGCACGTGGTAAAGCCCTAGCATGTTCGTTCTTCGGCGCCCGGCAGTAAGCTATGTAACTTTAAAAACATGGTAAAAAAGAAGGACAAAATATTACGAGTGATGACTAACTGTCCACCAACGTAACTCGCTGATTGTATATAATCTGGTTACGTTGGTGGACAGTTAGTCATAACTAGTAACATTTTGTCCGGCCTCTTTTCTACCATCATTAAATTGGCTCACCATACGAGTTCAACTTTTTTTTAAACTCACGAGCAATTCAGCATTACACAGAACACAAACCTGTATGTGTGCCTCTTTCCTCTCCGGCAGGTGCTGGGTGGTAATATCGGACCAGTGCTGAACTACATGCGGATGACGTACAAGGCCAAGCCGCTGGTGCTGCTGGCATGGCAACTGCACACGCCGACGCCAGGGGCCAGCGGGTCCGGGCTGTCGTTGTCCGTTGCCGCCGACTCCTCAGTCGGCTCGATCAGTGCTTTTGTAAGCTGCCTCGATGGCCAGGTATCTGCCAACCTGACAATGCCAGAAGGAGCGTAAGTTCAGCTATTAAACTAGTATCTGATGCATTTACTGCACAACACGTACATGATTAGGAGTTCTTGTAATGGTGAGAACACATACAGCATTCTTGCATATCCTTTCCAATGTAACCTCATTCTTCATTACTATCGATGTTTTAAAGCAGGACACGTAGTGCATTCGATTTTTGGCGAGAGAGAGAGAGAGAGAGAGAGAGAGAGAGAGAGAGAGAGAGAGAGAGAGAGAGAGTGTGTAAGAGAGAGAGACCGGTAGGAAGGGAGAGAGAGTGAGAAAGAGTGTGAGAGAAAGGGAGAGAGAGAGAAAGGGAGAGAGAGAGAGAGAGAGAGAGAGTGAGAAAGGGAGAGAGAGGGAGTGTGAGAGAGAGGGAGAGAAGGGAGAGAGAGGGAGAGAGAGGGAGACTGAGAGAGAGACAGACAGACAGACAGACAGACAGACAGACAGACACTGTGACCTCATTCTTCATTACTATCGATGTTCTAAAGCAGGACACGTAGTGCATTTGATTTTTGGCGCGCGAGAGAGAGAGAGAGAGAGAGAGAGAGAGAGAGAGAGAGAGAGAGAGAGAGAGAAAGAGAGTGTGTAAGAGAGAGAGAGACCGGTAGGAAGGGAGAGAGAGTGAGAAAGAGTGTGAGAGGAAGGGAGAGAGAGTGAGAAAGAGTGTGAGAGAAAGGGAGAGAGAGGGAGAGAGAGGGAGTGTGAGAGAGAGGGAGAGAAGGGATAGAGAGGGAGACTGAGAGACAGACAGACAGACCACAACACCCACCCACCCACACCCACAGAAAGGAACAGGCACAACATACAGCGACAGACAAACATAAAGCCAGAGACACCGACTCTGTCCCCCAGCTAGAGATAGAGAGAATGAAGGGCCGCTGGATATCCTGTATTGCTCGAACTGCTACTGGTACTGAAATGTTCTCCTAAATATGTCTTGCTCTTGTTTGTTCAGTACCCGGGGGTTTGACAATCGCCAATGGAAGAAGAACTTGGGGAATAATGCGATGATGCATGTGGAAAGACCGTCCATTGGTAAGTCAGTGGCCAGCACAGTGGTGTTGGCAGTGTCCTGGCAGCTCTGTGATGCACCGGAATCTATCTCTCCCGGAAGTTCTGGAATATTCCTTGTGGAGGAAGTGTGATAGTTATACTGAGCACATTATCACATTATTTTGCTGGTTGGGCTCGTTTGATCCATGTGAAACCATCTTTAACCATATTTTACAGTGATTGTTGATTCTCTTGCCTTGATTTTTTCCGATAAAAAGGAGAAGGGCAAAATGTTACGAGTTATGACTAACTGTCCACCAACGTAACCAGATCTTATACAGTCAGCGAGTGCGACAAAATGGCACAACACTTTGATTTTATCAGTTCATCTTTCTTCGTTCTCTTCTTCATTGCCCTAAGCATGCCACCATCCATTTATTGGCTGCTCCCATTCGGCGGTGTGCAAGAGAGCTTGAAAGCTCGGGGAGCTCAGCCCCTCGCTATGCTTTGCTTTTACCTAGGTCATCATGTGTGGTATTCGAATAGATAGAAACTCCACAGGTTCAACTATTTTCAAATTCGAAATTTTTCGAATTTTTCAGCTTCTAATACTGCTTCTATCAGTGGAAGAAATAATCGAAAAATACCAATAACCGATCGACAAAGGGTTAGATTATTCGGTAGTCAAAATATATAATCGTTTCATCCCTAATGTATAATGGACATGTACATGCAACATAACTCTAAATCCCAGACATGCACATTCTATCAAGTAGTTATTTCACGCTGTATTTTGGCGGAATTGAACTATTGGTGCGAGAAGCGTTAGCATGCAACATGTTCAATGTTCAATGTGTGTGTGTGTGTGTGTGTGTGTTTGTGTGCCTGTGTGCGTGTGCGTGTGTGCATGTGTGTGTGAGTGTGTATGTGCATGTGTGTGTGCTTATAAACATGTACACACCGACTCACACCGTTAGGCCAGTGGACCGTATCGCTGCAGAGCAGCTCAGAGTGCATGGTGCGCGTTGTCGGTTCAAGCGCTGTTGATCTTAGCACAGTATTCAGAGAGCCCACACCTCGTGCTGTTGGAGATGTTCAGGAGGATCAGGGCAACACTCCTGTGCTGGCGGAGATCGAAGGAGGTGCGCCGTCACAATCTACACCACCGACACGAGGTAAAGAGCGGAACAAACGGACTTTAATAGCTTCATGTATTAGAAATTTGCAAATACACTACCCACCGGGGCCTCTTGAAATCAGGTTATGTATTAGGATAGTTCACTGCAGTCACGATTATTGCAAGTTACAGGCAGTGTGCTTTAATCTCGTTGCCCCCCCCCCCCTCCCCTCTCTCTCCTATTCATTGCAATTCTATATATTGGAGTCATACAAATATAGCTGTATATAGGAGTTCCTTGGTCCTTCTTATTTTCTTATAAAATATATATTATCTTCTTATTTTTCTATAAATTTATCCTTGGCTCTCCATCTGAGTATATTATGAGTCCGTGCATTTTGTCTGCGTGTGTGTTCGAATGCGTGTGTGTTCGAATGTGTGTGTGTTCGAATGCGTGTGTGTTCGAATGCGTGCGTGCGCATTTGCGTGCATGTGTGTTAGGTGATCACGCGCACATGCTTATCGTGACGAGAAACGAGCC